ATATGATATTTAATGAAAAATTAGGTATATAAACTTATTTTTTGCAATGGTTTAGTTAACCCAAAATTTTAGTTAGCCCTCCTACATTTTAATCCTGGTTCCGCTCCTGCTTGTCTGTATAGGCTGCCGAGCAATGCCCATGCCACCCACAAGTCTTGCCAATGATTATTTATGTCATTTGCTGAGCCACGCCCGTACCAAACGCCGAGTACTGCCTAGACTCTCTCGTGCCACTTGTCGAGTAACGCTCGTGCCAAGTGCCGAGCATTGCAGAGACTTTCTTGTGTCATCAGTAGGGCTGTGACTGGGCTGGGTCGGTCGATTACCAGCCTAAAAACCGACCCATCCGTCAAACCATTTTTACTCAAATTTGAAAACCATTGCCGACCCAACCTTTGTGGGTCGGTTGATGGTTGGCAACCGAATGTTTGGTTCCGGAATGGGTCGGTTGATGGTTTATACCCGCCACCTAGTTCACTTAAAAAAACAAAAAAATTGGAGTAAAAATATCCACATTCTGCGTAATGCCCGGTGCGATCATCATTTATCAGTTCAAAATAATTAATAACAATTTAACGAGAAAATATAATTAGGAAATTCAAAGTAATTTCAAACATACACAAGAGATTTAGTGGAGTTTTGTGGGTTTTTTGTTTAAGCTTGGGTATAAAGAAACTGGTAGAAAATTTATGTCAAATTTTGTTCCTTTGTTGATTGTTTTTAAAATTTAAAATACTAATTTTTTTGATAATTTCAATAACCACTTATGAAAACACGGCCTTTATTTTATATTTTTAATAAAATTTTGATAGTATAGTTGGATGACCGATAATTATCGGTCAACCAACTTTTGATAATATTAGAAACCACCAACCGATCCATTATAGATGGGTTGGTCGAAATTTTCGACCCGATCCAATGGGTCGGTTAAAAATTGATTATCCGCCTAAAAATATGGTCGGTAATGGGTCGGTTGGTGGATAAAAACCAACCCAGTCCCAGCCCTAGTCATCAGCCAAATACTCTCTTGATCACCGCTCCCACTCGAATCAAGCCGTTCCTTTCTTTGCCCAACACTTGACCACTCATTGGCCAATGTATGATTATTTTATGCTAACCCTCACTTTGGCACTCTTTTCTTCGATCATGAATCGACCATACTCGAGTCATAATCGATGTCACCATCTAAAGGGCTACCAGAATCCCAATAT